ATTTCAAATTCTTAAATATAGAAGTTTGTATATAGTTCGAATAAGGAAAGATTTAACATATAAACTTTAATTTATTTTGAGTCCTAAATATTAAAGAAATAATTAAATGACTAGTCCTAAATATTAGAAAAATAATTAAATGTCTATTCCTAAATATTAGTTAAATTACTAAATAAATATTCCTTAATATTACGATAATAATTAAAAGACTGTTTTGTCTAGCATGAACTCTATTTTAAAAGGGTAAAAACGGCGAACGATATTTTGTTAAGGGCCTTCGTGATTTTAATATAGACTAGTATTAGGGTACGCGCGACCTGCGTAAATCCTATCTTAATGAGTATAAATTTTTATATAAAAAATAGTATTGAATTATAAAATAAAAGTGTAAGTTCCTAAAGATGCTATGAATATTCGTTGTGTATATTTAACTCAATAATTAAAGAAACTACCCTAGAAGTCCTCAATCATCAATAGTTCAACTTAAGATTTGTTCAAAATTTGTAATTTCATAATTTCAGTTTCACGGGCAAGAACCATGAAAATGTAAATAATCTTGAAGGATACAACTTATAACATATAAACAGACAACTAATAATCTACGAACTTTAAATAACATAAAATAAAAGTGTAATAAATAAACAAAAAAAGACATTAAAAAAAATAAAATAAAGCACGCTAGTAAAAAAAATCTACAATTGAAAGCTAACTGATAAACCCTCTCATGTATAGCTAAATATATCATGGATTAAAAATTAAAGAATCTAAAAAATTATCTTGTTATTTTGTGCATTTTATTGATTTCTGCTCGACATTGCTCATAATTGTAAAATGTCACGACCCGGATTTCCCACCATCGGGAGTCGTGATGAAGCCTACTATCGGAGCTAGGCAAGCCAAGCCTTTAAGCATTTTCTGATAACATCCCAACAATAATAATAACACGAGTCATTTAAATAAAAGCGGAAGTCTTTAAAACATAGATAACTGATAACCCAAAATGCGGAAGTTTAACATTTCTCTACCCAAGACTGGTGTCGCTATCTCACGAACTACTAAAGAGTGCTACAAACAAGTCTGAATAGAAATACATAAGTGTCTGTCTCAGTACAATGAAAACAAACTGAAAACATAGAAAGGGCCAGCTAGGCTACCTCGTAAGTCCCTGGACTGAAGTCAGCTCCCGAACAATATCCTACTGCTGTGGTCCAAAAGCTGCTCCGGTACCGTGATCTGTGCAAAAGAGCACAGAAGTGTAGCATCAGCACAACCGACCCCATGTGCTGGTACGTGCCTGGCCTAACCCCGGCGAAGTAGTGACGAGGCTAGTCAGGACTACCAAACCAACCTGTGCAGTTCAATATATATATGCAATAAAAGAAAAGAACAAGGAAATTAAACAGTTAAGAGGGAGGGGAGCATACTATGGGGGAGTACAGTCCGGATATAAAGTCAACAATTTAAGTAAGAAACAGGACAATAACAATAATTAATGAGAGCAGGAAAATCAACAGTTGCACGAAATCAACCTTCGTGCTTTTACTCTCATCCTCACCAAAAGCAATCAAATAAAGTGCACGGCATCACCCTTCGTGCTTTCCCTCACATAACTCTCATATCATGGCACGGAATGATCCTTCGTGCAATTATAATCAAATCAGAGCACGGAATTGTCCATTCGTGCATAAATAATCAAAACATGGCACGGAATGACCCTTCGTGCAAATATAATCAAAACATGGCACGAAATGACCCTTCGTGCAAATATAATCAAAGCATTGCACGGAACGACCTTTCGTGCATTATAATCAAAGCATGACACGGAATGACCCTTCGTGCATTATCACTCTTCCTCACCCAAACAGTAATCACAACCAAACGGGGCGAGGGGAAGAAATGTCCCGGCAAGGGAATTACACAATTAACAGCTAAATCCCGGCAAGGGAGCAACAACAATACTTTCACATCCCGGCAAGGGAGATAATCAATATACCCAAACCATCCCGGCAAGGGATTAATCATATCTCTTTCTATTTCTTTCATTTCTTACTCAATAGTCTTTTTATCGTTCGAGCCAACGCTCCAAAGAATTTACAATTCATAATTAGTCCTCATACTCTTCACATCGCATAGCATTCATCATTAACATGGAAGAGTCATAACAATATCAGGATAAGTACATACAAGGACCCACGGTCATGCTAGACACCGATGTATAGATACTCGTCACCATGCCTATACACCGTACTCGATCATGTAGCAATTAGCAAATAATAACACTCCAATCCTATTCCTTCAAGACAAAGTTAGATCAAACACTTACCTCAAATGCTCCAAAATCAACTCAAGCCTCTAGTATAGCTTTACCCCTCGAATTCGGCTCCAACTCAGTCAAATCTATGAAATAATGACTTTACAATATTAATAATAGCTAAACAAACTAAACCCAATGTCTAAATATGACTTTCTAAGCTTTCTTCCCAAAAATTCCAAAATCGACCCCGGGCCCGCTTGGTCAAAACCCGAGGTTCGAACCAATTCCATGTCACCCATTCCCCCACGAGCCCGAATATATAATTTATTTTCAAATTCGACCCCAAAACGAGGTCTAAATCAAAGAAAATTGAAAAGCCCTAATTCTACCCTTTTCCCCCAATTTACACCTTAAGTCACATGATTTAGGTCTAGGAATTTGATAAATGATGATAGAAAATGAAGAAAACGAGTTAGAAAATACTTACTCAAAAAGCTTTGGTGAAGAATCGCTCTAAAAGTCATCTAGGGGCTGTGGAGAAGAAGAGCTCGTGTGAAATTTGGGAATAATCCCGTCACTGGTCTGTTTTTGAGCCTTAAAAAATTACTGGGCAAAAATGCCCTTCGCGTTCGCGGGAAGGGGGCCGCGTTCGCGAAGGGTAGATGAGTCAAAGCATCGCGAACGCGAGGTGCTAGTCGCGAACGGATAGAAGGATGGGGCTCGGTCCGGGGTTTGCTTGTACGCGAACACGAGATGGGGCTCGCGAACGCGGTAAAGGGGAAACCAAGGCTACGCGAACGCGGGGACTTGTCCGCGAACGCGAAGAAGGGAAGGCCCACTGGTACGCGAACGCGAGCTGAGTGCTGCGAACGCGAAGAAGCAATTATCTGAGCAAAAATTGCAGAAAATCTGCTATCATTCTAAGTTTAAAAACACCCCGAACACCTCCGAAAATACTCCCGAGCCCTCGGGGCTCCTAACCAGTCACACACACTAACTCAACAACATCCTACGAACTTAACCGTGCGATCAAATCGCCAAAATAACATCATAAACGAGGAATCAAACCTCAAAATCATCACTTTTTCATCAAACTTCATAAACTTCAAATTTTAGATATTTAGGTCCGAAACACGTCAAATGACGTCCGATTTCGACCAAATTTCACAGAAAGCGCTTAAACCATATATAAGACTTGTACCGGACGTCGGAACCAAAATACGAGCCCAATACCACGGTCTTTTATTCAATTTTCATTTTCATTTTCCTTAATAATTTCACAGAAAAATTCTTTTCTCGGGCTCTAGACCTCGGATTTCGACTCCGGGCACATGTCCGAGTCCCATATTTTTCTACGGACCCTTCGGGACCGTCAAATCACGGGTTCGGATCCGTTTACCAAACATGTTGATCGAAGTCAACTTTAATCATTTTAAAACTATATTTTGAAAATTTTTCACAGAATTTAACATATAATCTTTCCGGCTACGCGGCCGGACTGCGCACGCAAATCGAGGCAAGTAAAAATGAGGTTTTCAAGGCCTCGGAAGCACGGGATGAAAGAGAAAACAGGTGATGACCCTTTGGGTCGTCACATAAAAGGGCATTTAAAACTTTGAAAGTTAAAAGTGTAATATTGAATAAAATTATTGGTACAATATATTTTTAAAAAGTGAATTATCTACGTTATTGTTCAGGAACCCGTACCTCTTCTTTCTTAAATCTTTTTATTCTTGTTTTATCTATTTTTTTAAATTTTTTATATATAACTTATGTGTAAGGCTTATACGAAGTGAGATTTTAATAAATCTCTAAATATTATAACTTTCTACATGGTTCGAATAAGAAAACAAGTTAATAAGTAAAATTTTAATTAATTTTAAGCTCTTAAATATTAAAAATGTAATTAAAGAACTATTAAATGAAGTATTTTTTGTAACAGTTAACATAAAATTTGAGGGACTTCACAATATTTTTTTGTGTGATAAAGATTAAATATGAAATGAAAAGAAAAAGCATTAGCTTAAATTTTAGTGTGATAAAGATTAAGTTTGAAATGAAAGAAAAAGAATTAGTTTAAATTTTAGTACTTTATTCTCATAGATATTATTTTATTTATTACTATGTTGGATGGTAATACTCACGTTTTCTTATTTAATTAACATGTTATGGTGAAGGCTAGGAATAACAATTAAATATTTAATAACTAATACTTTAGGCAATTTAAATATTTTAAATATTAGAAAAGTAACTTAAATTACAATTATATCCAATGTGAAATTTATTTTTAGCGGGATTTTACTGGGTTGTTGTTGTGAAATTTATTTTAGAGTGTAAAAAAGGAGAACAATATTTCGCCAAGGGCCTTCATGCTTTTAATATAATATAGATACAGATAAATAATAAATAATAGATATAAATATAGATTTGTAAAAAATATGATCAAAGAAAATCTTATTTGACTCCTCAAATAACAATATGTTTACATATTTTAAACAAAGGAAGAAATCGATTTAAAAAAGAAAAAAAGAAAAGTTATTAAATATAATTATTATCAATTCTCACCTTCACCTTGAATATTAACGAGTATAATTATATTTTTAATTATGCTTATATCATATTAACCTAGTAATTCTTTGGCTAGACAACAATATTATATAATTACGCTCAATTATGCGGCTTTCCAAACAAGCTTTAAAGATAAGACTTTTGGGTAGGATTGTGAGACGGTGTGATAGAGCCGCCTACGACCACACCAAGGAGGAAAAAGAAAAAAGAAAAAAGAAAAAAGAAAAAGAGAAAAGAGAAAAAGGAAATAGACGCCTTTTTTCCGATGATTTTCATGTAGAAAGTCTTCTCTTCTTCTCTCCTCTTTCTCTTCGTTTCCCCCATTCTTCTCTTATGGCTTCAAAACAGCTCTAAAATTCCTCTAACCTTACTATTCTGAACCCCTTCTAAACGTGGATTACATACATATACTGACACTTGGAAGAATTTGGATGAATCGAGGCGATTCTAAGTGGGATTTCCCTAGATCTGATTTTTGTTTTAGGTAAGTTCTTGGCTATATGGGTAGATTTTGTTTGGAATTTGCACGTGTCAATTTGGGAATATTTGATCTGTTTCTTCATATTCTTGTCTTATTAAGGTTTTTCTTGTATTCGGGTGTGTGTGAAATTTTTTGGTTGGTTATTGTTTTTCTCTTGTGAATCATTTGTCTTTAAGTCTAATTTTTTCTGAAAATCAGGTTTGCTGATTTATTTATTTATTTAATTATGGGAACAATGATTGCGTGTTTCGAAGAGAATGATGATAATTTTGGGTTTTCGTTGTGGATTAGAGTTTCCAAAAGCAACAACAACAACAACAACTACCCAGTATAGTCCCACAAAGTGGGGTCTCGGAGGGTAATACGTACACAGGCCTTACCCCTACCCGAAAGGGCAGAGAGGCTGTTTCCAATTGACCCTCGGCTCAGGAAAGAAAAGGAAAAGGAAAAAGAAAAACAAAAGAGCATTAGTGACTCCAGCAGAAATCGCATGCAATAATATCGACCAGTAACTGCCATAAGGGGGCACAATACAATACGCAAGTCATCTATGGAGAGCCCTACCAAACCCCTTCCAAAAGCTGGTCTGTAAATTGACAGTTTCGAAGTGAGTATGTAAAAACGGGGCTTATATGATGGTTGTTACAGCTTAAGCCTTTTGCCTTTTTTAACCAAAAAATAAAAAAAAGAGAGAAACTTGTTGGGCATAAATGTGATTTTTATAGCTTAAATTGAACCCTTTTTTTTTCGTACTCAAGACTGAATGTGATATTGTAGCTATTGGTCAACTTAAAAAATGGTAATATTATGGTTTTTGTATGCTCGTGTTGCATGTTATTTTATTTGAAGAACGCATTTGTCATATTGGAGTAAGGGTGTGAATATGAGAGTTGCTTCACAATTTCATTCTTAGGATGCTGATTGAGGGGTGTAAGGTTGCATCTCCTTTTTCTGTTTTAATAATTACCTATTGATATCTTATTGAGATGTTATCCTGCAGATTAAATGTTTTGGTGTTGCTTTTGGAATCATTGGGGACGTTTTGTCTAATTGATGGATGATGACCATTCCAATGGATAGTGCTGTCGATCAGTTGTCTCGCGAGCAAGTTCAGCGCCTCTACGACAAGGTTGCCTTATCCTCTGATTGCTTTTCCATTTGAATTGAGTGTTTATATATATATAAAAAAATCATGCATTCATTTGTGTTGCTTTACTTGTAAAGCTGTGGACATCCTTGCATAAAGACGTGTTTGTTGTCTGTAAGGCTGCTAGCTATATCTGTCTAGTTTATCTTCTTGCATAAAAAGAGCAACTGCATATTTGCTTGTTTGGAGCTTTTGTAATTGACATTTTTTACTTAACATAATTTTTTCCCCCAAAAGAATGTTGAGTTGGAGAATAAACGTAGAAAGGCAGCACAAGCTAGAATTCCTTCTGACCCAAGTGCATGGCAACAAATGCGAGAAAACTACGAAGCTATCATCCTTGAGGATAATGCCTTCTCAGAACAACATGAAATAGAGTATGCCTTGTGGCAGTTGCATTACAGGAGAATTGAGGAATTGCGCGCACACTTCAATGCTGCTGTAAATTCTAGTGTGTCAACCAATTCTCAGAATGGGAAAGTTCCCCATCGTAGTGGACCTGATCGCGTCACAAAGATCAGAACACAGTTTAAAACTTTTCTTTCGGAAGCAACAGGATTTTATCATGATTTGATGCTAAAAGTTAGGGCTAAGTATGGCCTGCCGCTGGGATATTTCTCTGATGATCAAGAAAATCAGATTCCTTCCTCTAAAGATGGTAACAAATCTGTGGAGGTGAAGAAAGGATTGATATCCTGCCATCGTTGTTTGATTTATCTTGGCGATCTTGCTCGGTACAAAGGCTTATATGGTGTGGGTGATTCCAAGGCTTGTGATTTTGCAGCTGCTTCGAGTTATTACCTGCAAGCTTCTTCACTTTGGCCTTCAAGTGGCAATCCTCATCACCAGGTATTTTCTGTGAGCGAATGGGGAATATGATTATTGAGTAACCTTCATATGAAACATTTTGTTTTTCTGTCTGTTCTTGTTGTGATGGCTGATTGTGTTTCCTCAGCTTGCAATACTGGCTTCCTATTCCAATGATGAGCTTGTGGCTATTTATCGCTATTTTCGCAGTCTTGCAATAGAAAGCCCTTTTTCCACGGCAAGGGATAACTTGATCATTGCATTTGAGAAGGTAAACAGCCTATTGAGAAGATATTTCAAGATTGTGCTGGTAGTTTGGTTAAGATCCTTGACAGCTCTTTCTTTTTTTCTCCTGTATTATGACGCCCCCTCTCCCCAAAGCCCCCCAAAGCGCCCCAGACACACACGCGCACTCTTGTGTAATGTAGTCATTAGATAATTGATTTAGGAGCCCCTCCGGTTCAAATTATATGACACACTTTCCTTATCAGTCTGTTCCAAAATAATGGCATATTTCGACATTTGAAAATAATTTATCTTTAAACTTCCCCTTTATCCATTTTACCCTTAGTGAGAAGCTTTTATAACCACAAAATTGAAAGCCCCACAAAAGCATTTATTCTTAAGCTTTTAAAATCACAAATTTTGCCCCCCAGGGCCTAGCTCAAGTGGCAAAGGGTGGTGGATTTGTGTCTTAGGTCACACGTTCAAGCCCCCAGACCATGCAAAGCAAAGCCTGGTATTTAAGTGGAGAAGGGTAGAGGGGCGGGCCCTTTATCCACCGAGTTTCGAAGGTTGCGGTTGGTCCAAAGGATCGGCCCCAGACGGATTTCTCGGTCATCAAAAAAAAAATCACAAGTTTCGAAAGTTCTTTTTTGCTTAAGCTCCGTGCCGAGTCAAACTACGTCACATAAATTGAAATGGAGGGAGTAGACTAATTTTTTTTTTTTTTAACGTTGGAAAAGTTACATCCTTATGTTGGTGGTGAGAATGTTTATGATTGACCAACTGGAGTTGTAGGATCATGACTACTAGGTATTATTTAGTCTGGATTGAGATCTTTACTTTAGTTGGCTTGGTACGTTCTTTTTTTTGGGTATAACCATGGTGTTTGGACGAGTTTGCATGCACTTCGACTAATTCCACGGGATACTTAGTTCCTCCTACCAGAACAAATGAGAAGAAAACACCTAGTGTTTCTGCTGGATTTGAATATGAGACCTCATGGTTCTCATCCTTGGTGCCTTCTTGAGAAAATAGATGTTCGATGATACTCATATGCAGATGCAGGAAAAGATTTAGTAGTGAGAGTTATTTAGAATGGCTTGAATTATGTCATATATCTCCTGCTTGTCTGTGTTAGAACTGCCGCAAATATCTTGTAGCAGCGTGGTATATCTTGTGGTATGTAACCATAAATGACTTTGGTAAAGCTAAGAATGTTGTACCGTAACCTGCTCTAATAGCGGACAATATTGACGATTTATGTAATAGCTAACCATAGACAGGTAATGAAGTTGGTTTGTGGCTTAGAGAATGTTTAATTGTATGCTATATATGTATAGTTGTACTGTACCCGTTTCTTGGCCTAGTAGACAGGGGAGTGCCAAATGTTAGGTAGGGGGTTCAACTCTTCATCCCAACTTTTGATTCCACTTCAAATAAAAAAGCTTGTAGTGTAGTGGCAAAAGTGGCTAAAAATAGAAGATGGGGCATTTTTTCGTTATTTTCTTGAATGCTGTTAGTATTCCTGGCTCTACCACTGTTAGTAGAAATAGGAATGTGTTAAAATTTTGACATACATGCGTGTCATTTTTGTAATTTCAAAAGAGATTGGGGAGGAATTTCAAATGTTTTAGTTTAGCGTGGTTTGGACATGGACGGTTTCCAGAATATTTGCTATTTCGAGTGACCTTTACTGCAAGACTCAGTGATGTTACTCTTGTGTCGATGGCCTTTAGTTCTATCTTTTGAATGGTAAGATTATCTCTATTACTTTGAACGCATGTTAACTCTCAATGTGAATCACCAAGAACTTGTGGAACCCAATAAATTGTGGATTTCTGTTGTTCCTCATGTAAATTTTATTTGTTTAATAGATGTTATTGGTCCTTTGTAAAATTTGTGAACAGTGGCATCTGTTATCATCTTTTGGCAGAACCGTCAGTGTTACTCTCAACTTGTGGGGGATACTAAAGCTTCCTCCACCAAGGCCGTACGTCCTCGTACAACTGGCAAAGGAAGAAGCAAAGGAGAAACGAGGCATCCACTGAAAGATGGTAGGGTTGAAGCAAGTTCGGTCCAGGAAAAAGGTTCTAGTATGTCTGACATCTTCAAAACCTTCAGCACAAGATTTGTTCGATTGAATGGTATTCTTTTCACTCGCACTAGGTATTTTCCTGTCCATGCTGTAATACAAATCTCTGATATTTTGACTACAATATATCATTAAGATATTATTGCTTTGTTTTCCATCTTTAACCAGTTTGGAGACTTTTGGAGAAGTGCAAGCGGTGGTTAAAAATGATCTGCTTGAGCTTCTCTCCTCTGGGACTAATGAGAAGTATAATTTTGGTTCTGACACTGCCGACTGTAAACTGGCTTTTGTAAGGCTCGTGGCCATCCTAATATTCACTGTTCATAACGTGAATAAGGAAAGCGAAAACCAGTCATATGCTGAGATTTTACAAAGATCGGCTCTTCTACAGAATGCATTTACTGCTGTGTTTGAGTTCATGGGTCATGTAGTTGAAAGATGTGTCCAATTAAATGATCCCACAACAAGCTTCCTTTTGCCAGGGGTTTTGGTGTTTGTAGAATGGTTAGCGAGCCGTCAAGATGTTGCACTTGGGAACGAACCAGAAGAGAAGCAAAGCAGGGCTAGATCATTTTTCTGGAAGAACTGCATTGCTTTCTTTAATAAGCTTTTGTCTAGTGGGTTTAAGTTTGTTGATGATGACAAGGATGATACGTGCTTCTTCAATATGAGCAGGTATGATGAAGGAGAGAGCGATAATCGTCTTGCATTACCCGAGGATTTTGAGCTGAGGGGATTTATACCTTTTCTTCCGGCACAACTTATCCTTGATTTTTCAAGGAAGCATTCTTTTGGTGGTGATGGTGGCATCAAAGAGAAGAAATCACGTCTCCAGAGGATAATAGCAGCAGGAAAGGCTCTTGCTAATGTGGTCCGTGTTGGAGAAGAGGGAATATATTTTGACGGTAGAGCAAAGAAATTCATCGTTGGCATTGAGCCTCAAGTATCTGATGATTATGCGCTTAATTGCTCCATGGAAGTTCCCAAATTGAGTGGTATTGAGTTGGAGAATTCAGCTGCAGGGCAGTTAACTGTAGGACCTCCGCAGCCAAAGCAACAATTGTATGTGGAAGGGGAGGAAGAAGATGAGGTAATTGTTTTTAAGCCATCGGTGGTAGAAAAGCATGTGAATGGAAGCGCTTCAAACATGATGACCTCAGAAGGTCATGTTTTTGGTGTTTGTGCTGCCAGTGTTCCTCCTGGGGTTAGCGTGGCCTCTGTTGGTCTAGGAAATGAAATGGGTCCATTTTCAGCTGCACTTGATGGATTGGTCATGCAGAGTGCATTACATGCTAGTGCAAGGCCACCCTCAAGTATTGCCAATAACAGTGGCCAATATATGCAGCCTATTCAACCAAGTACTTCATTGTGGTCCGTTGAACGAGCTGCTGTTATGAATGGATTTGCCAGCTTGAACATGATAGGAAATGGTCCAACTATAATATCTGAGTTGCAAGATCAAGTATTTCCACCTGTGCCATATTCTGTCCCTTTTCCCCAGTCCGTCAATTTTGGCATGACAAATAATATTCCTGTGCATATCCCAGATGCTGCCATACCATCTAACTTCAGTTCACTTTCATCCTCAGTAGTTGGTATTGATAGCATGTCAATTAAGTCCCCATCAGTCATGTCAACAGGCATAAGGAAAAATCCAGTTAGCAGACCTATTAGGCATCTGGGTCCGCCTCCAGGCTTTGGTTCTGTTCCTTCGAAAGTCCTGGAGGAGTCTTCTTCAGCAATGACCATAAAGAATGAACATACTACTCTTCCTCCTATGGATGACTATAGCTGGTTGGATGGATATCAGTTGCCTTCATCACATCAGAGCATTGGTTTCAATAACTCCGTTAATCATTCAACACAAAACTACCACTCAATGAGCAAGAGTAGTAGCTCCGTTGGGATGGTGAGCTTTCCTTTCCCTGGGAAACAGGTAAACTCTCTGCATGTGCAATCAGGGAACCAGAGAGGTTGGGAGGACTACCAGATATCTGAACAATTAAAACTGTACCAGGGGCAACCTCAGCAACTCCAGAGTGGAAACCAACAATCTGTTGAACTGCCTCAGCGGCATGAAGGACAGTCTCTGTGGGAAGGCCGTTTTTTTGTGTGATATGGATACAGGAGATTAGATGGTAAAATGATATTTTTCTGTACCTTAACAGAGAATTACTTGAACACATTCTCCATGACTGCTTTTATCTTTCCGAGCCCTGCATTTTATCTTTCTTACAGTTGGCTGCTCAAGCTTTTCCAGGTTGTTAACAATTACAGTGGCAATGTCCAGCGGCCTGTTGCTATGACATTCAACCATCATATTTGTAGTGTCGCCAATGTTACTTAAGTTTTCTTGCAGCATGGATGGTCTTTTGCAGTGTTGCGGGCACTTACTGTTGAGCAGGTATTCGTGCTCTTTCTTCCTCCCTTACTCTCCCTTCTCTTTCTCCCTCCTCCCATTCTCTTGGATCTCTACTGTTGCATTTGAGTCCACACGATTAGTTAATATGTTGGACATACTTTTAACATTTTTTGATAATTCATTAATGAGGGGATGGCTTTTATTTTCTCGGTAGTCCGCTGAGAAAGTTCTCATTTTTCTTTTTCTTCCTAGCATGCGAGGAAAACCCCGAAGAATTTACATAGTTTCCAATCTAAGAACAAATTTAAGCTCTTGATGGCTCTTTCATTACCCTGATATTTTCTATGAGCGAGCTTAATAACTATTATGTGCTTTTGCTGGTTGGTCTGGAAAGTTCTCTTTTTTCACCTTTGGTGGGGCTTGGGTTAACGTAGGGCTGGAATCTGAGTACTATTATGCTTTTTTTATTTGAAGGAAAATGAGTGCCTAAATAACTATGAAATTTTCATTCTTCAGTTATTGAATTCCAATTTAAAACTTCCCACACTTTGGTTGTGTTTGATATGAAGGAAAATATTTTCTAGAAAATATTTTTCAATTTTCACATATTTGGTTGGCTTAAATGTTTTGGCGAACATTTTCCTCATGGACTCAACAACATTTTCCCGTGAACTCATTTTACGTGAATTGGAGGAAAATGACTTCCCTACCAAGAAGAGTAAAATATTTTTCAAATCTCTTTTTTAACCTTCCCCATCCTATTTCTCACCACCACCCCCTTCGCCACACCCACCCCCTTCACCCTCACCAGCAACCCACCCTCACCCTCTCCCACTCCTACCCCCAGCCCCTACCCTGCCACCCTTTCACCCCACCAGCACCCACACGCCATTTCCATTACCCACCCCCAAACCCCCCGGTGCCACCCCCACCCACGCACCCCCTCCACCCCACCCTAGCCCCTAGACCCCGATCTTCCACCCTTTCCCGCTCTTACACATTTCTTCTCCTATACCGTTTTCCTAAATAATATATTTTTCAGAAAATATCTTCTGCTACCTGACCAAACACCAGAGAGAGAGTAAGAAAATGTTTTCCTTCATACCATGCACACCCTTTCTTTCCTGTTTTCAACTTGAGGTTATTAAGGTTAATTCCCTGGTTATGCATCGACATAGTTTACCCTTTCTTAAAAATTCTCACTTAGGAGAGCAAGGTGAGAGGACCCACTTTCCACCGAGCTTCGAAGACAAAAATAATGGATTTCTCAGATATCCAAGAAATATATTTATAGAAAATAACTCACTTTTTTGGATGTATGCCAGCTTGTGCCTAGCTCTTCAGACTGGACAAGTCAGACTGAGGTCAGTAGGTGCAGGGGTTGGGAGCTTTGGAAGTAAGAACCTTGCCTGTTTGGATGGTGCACGGTTGGTATGTCAGATTTTGGTGGATTGCTGGTTGGTGTCAATGAGTGAGAAGCTAGTCTACCTATCTTATAGGAGATCTCTCTTACCAAGTTCTGCTACATGCGATGATGAGCAGTTTCCGAATATTAAATGTGTAAGTGGATGTCTTGGCAGCAGTTAACATGTCTGCCTGAAAATTCTTCAATGGGATCTTGCATGAGATCACGGAGTAGTAGTTATCAGGGGCTAACTATGGATGTTTTATGGAAATAAGTTTGTGATTATGTATGCATATGGTTATCTCAACTTTTGATTTGTTTCAATGTCAACTAGTGGCAATATCCTGTCATGTATGTTATTTAAATTTGTTGTGCTTGTGATCCAGTTACAGATTGTTGTTGGATAATTAGTTTTCGGTCATCTGTATCTTGGTATGGCATTTTCCCAAGCTGAGAATGCCAAAACCTTTTGTTTCGCTAGGCACCCTGCTGTCTTTGTTTCCGCTATGTGCATCATGCCTTTTCGTTCTTCAGTGTTGTGATTTTCCTATTCTGGCCTTGATTTTGCCGGTCGCAAGCATTGGCTCTTTGTTATGATGCTGTAAATATCTCCAGTGCTATCCAAGTTGGGGGCCAACAGTCAGCAAGATTAACTAGTAGTCTTATATGGTCCAAGGAAAATCCTTTTCGCTTGAATTCTCTTTGTATTATATATTTGCAGTTCTACTAAATTGATTAGAGAAGCGCAAAATGAACAAATAATTTTGTGCCCAAAAGTTGTGCTTTTGTGTCAAAAGGCAGGGTAACATTGTTTCTTCCTCTGCGCTGTAACACTCCTCAAATATATAAGAGTGTAAAGTTTCAAGACACTTTAAATATAAAATTTAACTATTAATTTTTTATCTCAAATTATATTTTTATTACGGATTTGAACCCTTGTAATATATTTTGAGTTACTTCTCTATTTACAAATAATTGGATATATAATTAGGGAAATATTAATAATTTTATGTTGTTAATTATTAAAAGTCGGTATAATTAAATACTAGTTAAGTTAAAAAAAAACGAAAAAGAAAAAAAACAAATAAAAGAAGCGTGCCAAGGCAAGCCCATAAAGGGCTGTTAGACCAAATACAATAGGATTGCAACAGGAGTGAATAGCCTTGCAAAAACAAAATAGAATATACATTCTGTTTGCTAAGAAACAGAGGCAGCGAACTATTCGGGCAGGCAACGAAAATTCTAGAGTTCTTTAGAAATCACTAATTCTTAAATTTAGGTATGTAAAATTCTCTATTGTTAATTACTCTACAGTAGTAATAGGTAAGAATTGAATAGTTAATTTCTTTCTTTCTCTGTATCGACATCAAATTTCATGTTTAGGTATAAGATTTTGAAATCAATTAAAATGCACTGGTTGTTGTAGAATCAATTGTTTGACGGGTATAAATTGGATTGGGGCCTACGTATCGGCTCGAGGAGTTTTGGAGGTAAGTTGATATAACCTCTTACTAAAGTGGTTTAACTCACAAAAGCACGCATACAAGGTGTTTGATGAATTACTTAAAAGAGTTTATATTTACTTAATTGAAGTGGGTGAGTACCTATTAGCTTAGAATTATTTTAGTGCTTAAACTGTATACAAAAGATTCTTAGATACTTAGTTACTCCAATGAACATGCATGTCCTATAGATAAATACCATGTCTTTGGCGTGTTTTCTTGTAATGCAGAACTAATGAATGAATGCAGTTGAATGGCAGTACTTCTTGCAACATCTATCAAGAAACTAATCTAAATATTGCGAAAATAAGAAATTCCAAAAGCTACTTCTTTGATTCATTATTTGAAGGTATAGAGCTGTTAAGTTGCTGCTGTTCGTGTTGTGGAGACTGTAAATATTCAGATTTTTGTGTATTTCTTATAGGCCATTTTCATGTTGAAAAAGAAATTTCATGAAGAAGCAAGAATTTTTAGAAATGCTTTTGAATGGTTATTTCATTCTTATGCCATACCTTACATTTACGGATTCCAGAATGAGTATGTTTGAAAGATTTAGACTTGAAAAGTCACAAGAAGAAGTTTTAGAAAGAAAAGATTTTTGGGAGTATCCTTTATTCTAGGAAGAGGTGATCGTCCAGGCCAAGGGTCCTGACCAAGATGTTGACTTCCTGAAACTACTTGTGCCAAAGTAGGGAGCACACGAGCCGATGGCCTCGTTGCTGAGAATTTACTTAGCCATGCTAAGGTATGATACATGAGCGCTGAGAACCATGAAGCGAGTGCACCTCGTGGATTAGGCCTATTCGATCAGGTTGGGATTGAACCCGTGCCGATCACGGTGACTGAGACATAATTAAGTCAGGATAGTTGGAACTCCCCAAGTATAAAGTGAAGTATCTTTTTTATAAGAAAGAAAAAGAAAAGAATTTCCTTTGGAATATTCATAAACTGCTATTATGCAATTATTTTAGAATTGTTCTTATAAGCTTTATGTTTTACATGCATTTAGAATCTTTGCTCGTAATGTATATGTTATTAAAGTTTCGTCCCCTATCGTTGAGACTCACTGAGTACAATGAATGGTACTGACGTTCTCTTTTGGGAACCTACGTTGGTCTGCGGTACAACGTAGGAACAAGTTTTGTAGGCGAGCAGGCTACGAGTTAGGACTTCCTTATCTTCTAGTGCTATTGGTGAGCTCCGCTTTTGTTCGTGGAGTATTCCTTAGAGTCATTTTTATTTAGCTATTTCTTTGTTTACTTAGAGAACTGGCCAGGAAATCTCATGTCATGAGCAGTGCGTCAGTTTATCAGTAGAGGCTTCATAGGCACAGTCGGTGGGTTATGATTCAGATGTTTTTGATTATAACTTAGCAGTATTTCATTGGTTACTACAAATAATATTTTGAAGTTGGCTTATTTTAGATATTTAAATTATTTAAAAGTATTTGCTTACAGTAGTGCCTTGTGGCATGTAAAGTTTGAAGTTATAATAGATTTGATAAGCGCAGATGGTTCGCTCGGTCATGTTTAGTGATGGGGTACCGGTCCAGGCTTGTTTAAAAAATGGGTCGTGACAAACTTGGTATCAGAGCCTCAGGTTTATGGAGTCCTAGGGGTCTATGAAGCCATGTTAGTAGAGTCTTGTTTATGGGTATGAAGCGCGCCATACTTATAAGCAGGAGGCTACAAGCATTTAGGAAAAGTCTCATTTTTTTCCCTCATACTTTAGATCGTGCAGTAGATCCTACCTCTAAGAAATTATCTAATGTATTCGTTTCTTTAAAACTCGCAGAAATAGCTCGTACTCGCAACTCTGACACCGACACTCAGGATGCTGCTCAAGAAACTATTGTTACTATTGTGGCTCAAGGCAGAACTAAAAAGGGTTCAACTCAGAAAAGGAAGGGTAAATCCACAAAGGGGGTTCAAATACCCCGGGTTGAACATGAAGAAGGGGTGGAGCATGATGATCCAGTACCTCAGGATCCAGTGCCGCCCCCAACAGTAGCTCCGGCTCAGACAACTATATCTCTAGAGGTGGGTCAGATGTTTAATGCAGTCAACAATGCTATGGAGATGTTTAAAGCCTTCATGGCCAACTGGAGATTCCACCTCAATCAAATAAACAAAACAATTATGAGTCCTCGAGAGTGAATGAATTTTTGAAGTTGATTCCTCCAGTGTTCCATGGTTCTATAGTTGATGAAGATCCAATGTTGTGGATGGAGGGTGTGAAGAAAGTCCTCCGAGCGATGAAAGCATTTGATGATGAAGCTGTGGAGCTGGCTGCTTACCAGCTTAAAGATGTGGCCGGCGCTTGGTTTGAGATGTGGGAAAAGGAAAGAGATGAAGATGATGGTCCGCCTACTTGGGAAGAATTTGAAGAGGCCTTCATGGCTAACTTTATCCCGGAAGAGGATAGGGAAGCTAAGGCTACAGAGTTCGAACAGCTCAAGCAAGGGAATAAAAGTGTGCAAGAGTACTACATGGAATTCATAAGGTTAGCTAAGCATGATCCTCACATGGTTAAGACAGAAAAAGCAAAGATTCGCAGGTTTGTTGGCGGTTTGGCTTACCACATTAAGGATACGACATCAGCTGCAGCGGTAGGAATGATAGCCTTCTCCTTTGTTGTGGGATTCGCCAGGCACTTAGAAAAAGACAGACAACAAAGGAGAGAAGAAAAAGAACAAAACAAGAAAGCCCGAACAACGGGCAGGTTTAATGGTACATCCAGCGGAGGTGGAAGGGGTACCTCTGATAAGGAGTCATTAGCACTACCTCAGTCCATTCATCAGTCAGGTGGTGGGTCTTCCTTTAGACGTACTCAGAGTTATGGAAATCAGTCTCGCCAGAATCAGAATTTTAGGACATCTTCCTCACGTAGCCAGAGTCATGCTGAGCAACATTCATACCAACAAAGTCTTTATGGAACATGTAAGCGGCAACATTCAAGTCAGTGCAAGCTCGGGTTTCATGGTTGCTATCATTGTGGAGACATTGGTCATATAAAGGCCAACTGCCCAAAGTTGAGACGTAATTTTAGTGGGGTATCAACTCGTCCTTCTAGTTCCTCAGCTACTGCAGTTGCACCACCTCAGGCTCGTGGTTCTCATAATTAGACCGGGCATGGGGCAGGAAGGGGTGCAGATCGAGTTACTTAAGGAGGGGGACAACCCCGTTTGTTTGCTACACTTGATCATCAGAGTGCAGAGGCGTCTGCAGAAGTTATTACAGGTATACTTCTAGTCTTCTCACATAATGCTTATGCCATAATGGATTCAGGTTCAACGTTTTCATATGTGACTCCATACTTTGCAATTAACCTCAGGCTAGAACCAAAACAACTTAGTGAGCCATTCCTAGTATCTACTCCAGTTGCCGAGTCAGTGAAAGTCACAAGAGTCTATAGAGGTTGTATAGTTTCAGTCCAAGGTCGCAACACCAAAGTCGATCTCATAGAGCTAGAAATGGTGGATTTCGATGTGATCATGGGTATGGATTGGTTGTCTTCCTGCTATGCCATGTTAATTGTCATGCTAAGATAGTCAGGTTCCAATTTCCATATGAAGAAGTCTTAGAGTGGAAAGGTAGTTCAGCATCGCTTGTAGGTATGTTTATTTCTTACCTTAAGGCACAACGAATGATCAGTATAGGGTGTCTCGCCTATTTGGCTCACATCATTAATCCAGAATCAGACCCACCAGCTCTTCAGTCTGTGCCAGTTGTTAGAGAATTTCTAGAATTTTTCCAAGATGACCTTCCCGGACTTCCTCCTGAAAGAATCATAGACTTTGGCCTTAATCTCATGCCTGGCACTCAGCCCATATCTATACCTCCTTATAGGATGGCTCCAGCAGAACTTAATGAGTTGAGAGAACAGTTGAAAGACCTTCTTGACAAGGGCTACATCAGGCCGAGTGTTTCACTGTGGGGTGCCCCGGTCCTGGTTGTCAAGAAGAAAGATGGGTCCCTCAGAATGTGCGTCGACTATCGGTAGTTGAATAAAGTTACCATTAAGAACAA